TCCCTACGCGTTTTTCACTTGCGTGTAGTGAGCTAGATATGCGTGTCGTCCACACGTTTAGCGGATTGCAGCCAGCGTATGACGTCAAAATGACCTAATGAATCAGCTAATATTATATATATATATATATATATATATATATATATATAATATTATATATATAGTACATTTATTAATAATAATACAGCCTAATCAGGGAACAGTGAAATTACAATTTCACTGTTCCCTGGCCTAATACATCAGTTAATGAGGCTGTATTTAATTTATCATATATAATTATTAAATAAATCTTAAATTAGTACATCCTAATAAAAAATGTTAATTAGTTTGTCTTAGTATCATTTATTTTTGTTAAATGAATACCACCTAATAAAATCTGAAAATAGACATAAATACATGTCATAGGCTTACAGCACTAAACAACATTTTACACTTTCAATATCTATATCAAAAACATAAACCAACATACAATTATAGTTCTATATCAGTAGCATAATAACACTTTATAACTGTCATTATTATTGGACGAAGAGACATAGATAGTAATTGTATACTAGATACTTAAATTAATACAACCTAATTATTATCAGATTTTCCAGATGTACAGTATTTGAAAAATGTTTATCTCATGATTTTGATTTAAGTAGTGATATAGTAGTATGTATCAGGTGTAGTTTATTTTTTATGTATATTTCACCGGGTTCCGTTTCCTCATACAATAACAATTATAAAGTGAGATTTATATATAAAGAACTATGACTGTATACTGGCTTTTAAATATTGTATTTATTTAGGTATTAGAAAAAACTGATACTAAAACAACCTAATTACAGTAGCACATCTTATTTATGCTTAAATAAAGTAATACAGTAATCAGATTTTATTAGGTTGTATTTATTTAAGTATTAAAAAGTAACGGATACAATATAACATAATTTAATATGATAGTTTGTTGTATTAAGTATTGTACATTTAATAACAACCTAATAAATCAGTTCATTAATATATGATTATTAATTTATAATAAAACAAGATTTGTTAATTTGTAATAGTATCACTTATTTGTTTTAACTTCTATAAATACCTAATAAAATCTGTATTTATTAAAACTTATTTAAACTAAAATGGTAATGGAATTTGGTTGCTTCCTCATTGAATTGTATAAGTTCAGCTAATGTTTAATATTTTCTTTGGTGGAATGAAATTTTATTTTCACTTAATCTGAAATTGACATAAACATTCCTCGTACAGTACACACAACTCATTTTGTACAAACACTTGCGTTTCACTAAGTATATTTATTTTACAAACATAATTAAAGCCAGAATACATGGTTCTTTATATTTAAATTTCACTTTATAATAATTATTCTATGATAAAACATACAAAGACATAAAATAACTGGGAAATAACTAGCACCCGATCTATTTAGGATTTTGCTCGTACACACAACACATATTCTACAAAAATCTTACATTCATTTAGTATATTTATTTTAAAAACATAATTAAAACCAGCATACAATCAAGGTTCTTTATATATATATTTTACTTTATAATAATTATTGTTCTATGATAAAACATACAAAAACGGGAAATAAACTAGCACCTGATATATTACTATATTACTATGTAGGATTGCTCGTACACACAACACATATTCTACAAAAAAAATACATTCACTTAATATATTTATTTTTAAAAACCTAATTAAAACCAGCATACAATTATAGTTCTTAATAAATATTTAAATTTCAATTTACAATAATTATTATTGTACGATAAAACATTATACACAAAGACTTAAAATATACTGCACCCGACACATACTACTATTTTACTACTTAAGATATTTTTTTTTCAAAAAATATACTTTTCTGTGTGTATATATTATTTCAAAGACAAAGTAAATCTAACATTAAATTATAATTATTTAACAAGTATTTATAATAATCCTAAAAGCCTATAATTATTGTTATTGGATATAATACCGTATTATGAAGTGTTATTATGCCATTGATATAGAACTATAATTATATGTTTTATGTTTTTTTTAAGAAAAAAATGTTGTGTAGTGTTGTAGGCCTATCAGCTATATTTGTGTCTATTTTCAAATTTTATTAGGTGGTATTTATTTAACAGAAATAAATTATACTAAGACAAACTAATTAACATTTCTTATTAGAGTGTATTAATTTAAGATTTATTTATTAATTATATATAATTGATTAAATACAGCCTCAAGGGTGAACTTTATTATTAGATTGTATTTACTTAAATAAATATAAACTAACCAGATTGTATTTATTTATTTTATTGATTGTAAATGTACTACGATACTTAAAGAATTACAACAAGCAGAAATGATGATACACTATGGCAAATTGAGTAAAATACAAGCTAATAAATAATTAGCCTAGTTAATACATTGAAGAAATAACTGATATTTTGCTATTAATACTATGAACACCAGTAATTACCATATAAGTAGGATTAGTTGGGTGTGTGATAACTATGTCTTAATCAACACCCCTATTCTGGAATTGACAATTCCTTTGTTAAATGTTATTTCTTTCTACTGATACTGTTTCCTACTGACATTATTTCTGATTTCCAAATTATATGTCCCTGGTAGAGGGAA